CATAACAGTTTAAACTCATATGAGTGCTTTTCTCTAAGCAACCAGTATTCACATGCCCGTAAGTCAGCCTGAATTAATAAGTCTGGATACAGATACAGGTGCTCAGTCAAAAGAAACAACTACAGCAGAGTCAGACTTCTGTCTTTATGATGACCTAAAAAGATAAGAAAAGACTATGGTCTCCAGGGCCCAGTTGATGCCTTGGCCTCTTTACTGAGACTGTCATTCATAGCAATAATGATATTTGTGACACTTCTGTGGTAGGAACCATCTACACAGGCCATCAAAGATGCTTTTACCTTGAAAGAAACACCCCACAAGGGTCTGCGTTGCCTTCTTCCTACTGGAAAGGTGCTAAGCAGCTGGTGTTACAGTATGTGGGATTGCAGCTCAACTATTAACACTTACATCAGGGCTTACCAGTAAAAATGTCAACCGTTACAGAGGTAATTGGTCTTTGTAATATTGATTTTCCTGCAGCAGTCAGGTTCAAAAAGCAAAAGGTTTGTAGTGCTTGACATAGGCAGGGTTACCTTCTGACCTTTAGATGTAACTTGACTTATTTCTGCACAATCAGCTTCTGTATCCTGTTGTTTTTTCAGCATTACAAAATGCTTGAAATATTCATCAAAGATATTTTCCTGATGAAAACACAGAACAAATCTTGTTTGAAACAGAAAACACAGTTCAACCCAAGTTGGTGCTTTTATGCTGCTAGCAAAGCAGAAAACAGGTTGTAGTAAATGTATTTCCTTTTAAGAAAGAACATGTTATTTGCATTCCAATAATTTAAACAGACTTATTACCTGTGGCCCAGAACATAAATATGATAAGAGATAATGATCTTCTCTGATTAGGTTGCAAATGCCTCAGGACAGGAACTGTCAAAGTAGGAAGAATGCACAAGAATGAAAGCTGTATTATCACCTCCTAGCCCCCTTCCTAGAGAGACGATAAAAGTTCAGGGACTTAATGTCAAAGAGGAAATCCATAGCTGGAAACCCGTAACAGAATCTAGTTTTTCTGCAGTTTCCCGGGATTACTGTCCAGAGCTTGTTTAGAGAGCTGGCCTGGTGAAAGAGGAATAGAAAGTGATGTCTACTGGGTCAGGTCGCATGAGAGTAGGGATGAAGGTGAATGGAAATATTTAAATAAAAAATAAAAAAAAAAGAAAGAAAAAGCAATAAGCACACTGCCACTCAGGTTGACAGAGCTGTGCAGGCTGTGCTGAAATGTTCCTGCATGGAGAGCTGCTAACGAGCAAGGAGAACAGCCATGGAGACCAGCACAGAGCGGGAAGGAGCAGAAATCAGGGTCATCTCAGACAAAGTAAATCAATTTTCAAAAGGTGATGCCATTTCACTGCGTAGGGCCTGGGACAGTGAAATCTTTGTCAAAGGACACAGCAGAACCCCGGTGATGAGCAGGAAGCCAGAAGACTGCTCTAGCACACCAGGGTGAAACATCGCCTGCTGCTTAACACTGCGCGGGTTTCTTGCAAGGATATTTATCATTTATCCCGCCACAGGTAGGGAGCAGGGACCCCTTAACAGATGCCAACACA